TGTAGAGGTATATGCATGTATGTCAACGTGTATTATATTTGTGGAGGTGTGTGTATGTGGGTGGAGGTGCATGTCTGTGTACGTGGGTTGTGTGTGTGTATGTCTGTGTGTCTGTGTCTGTGTATCTCTGTGTGTGTTTCTCACTGGCTTGGGGCTCACTGAGTAAGCTACACTGGCTGGCCACTAAGTCCCAGAAGCCTGTTTGTCTGCTTCCTCAGTGCTCTGGTATTCTAGGGGAGAACAAGCTTACCTATCCCTTTCACTCAGACACTAGGACCTGAACTCAGGTCCCGAGCTTGAGTGATAAGCACTCTCTTCTCTGTGATATCTCCCCAGCCCTGTGATACTTTCTAGTATGAAGCTTCTGCTTGTCCCTGTGAATGCTCTGGTGCGGCCTGGAACCAGTGGTTATGTAGAGCTGCTCCTGTTGGCACTACACATATGTGGCTACTGTGTGAGCCAGGGGCTCCGGGGACTGGGGTATGGCACATTTATGGAGCTGGTGTTTGTCTTCATAATGAAGCCACACCAATCTGGTTTCCTTTGAAAAGAGTAAACAGTGCCAGGCTGGGTTAGGAATTATGCCGATTTGCTGGCACAGGTTCAAAGTGTATGTTCCTAAACAGTAGCTCCCTTGAGGTGTACTGGACAGGCTGTATTATCCCCATTTTATAGACTTGGGAAACTGAGGCCTGAGAAAGAATGTGATCAACCAAGGTCATGCAAGCTATGTATGACCTATGCTCCCAAGCTCAGATGTATGTGGTTTACTTATTTGTTTTTTTTTTTTTTTTATTTTTGGGATAAACTGAGTCTAGTGGGGATAGAAGTAGAAAGTACCATCTTTCCCCAACAAATGTTTCTCCCTGCTCTGGAGCACATGTTGGATGGCTTTTTTGGACCAGAAAAGCTTGCTGTGTGTGTGTGTGTGTGTGCGCGTGTATACATATAATATGTGTGTGTGTATGTGTTTATATACATGCATATGTATATAAAGATGTCATTGCCTTGTTTGAGATAGGTATTCACACTGAGTTGAAGATGGCCATTTCAGCTAGCCTGGCTACCCAGAAAGTCCTCAGGACCCCTGTCTCTCCCTTCTTAGTACTGGAATTACAAATCCATGCCACTCAGCCTACAGAATGGAAAAGCGCTCTCTCTCTCTCTCTCTCTCTCTCTCTCTCTCTCTCTCATTTACTTATTTATTTATTTACCATGTATACATCCAATGGAAGGCTAATATCTAAAATATATAAAGAAACTAGATATCAAGAAAACAAATAACCCAATTAAGTAATGGGGTACAGATCTAAACAGAATTTTCATGAGAAGTAACTGAGAAATAATTAAAGACATGTTTGATATCCTTAGCCGTCAGGGAACTGCAAATCAAAACTACTTGAGATTTCATCTTACACCTGTCAGAATGGCTAAGATCATCATCAACAACTAAACAAAACAAAAATACAAAACAAAAACAGAATAAAACAAAACACCAAACTCCCCAAACCCTGACAGCTCATGCTGGCCAGGATGTGTGGAGTAAAAGGAACACCAATCCATTGATAGTGGAAGTATGAACTCCTATAGCCACTTTGGAAATAAGTGTGGCATTTCCTTTGGAAGCTGAGAATCCATCTGCTTCAAGATCCAGCTATAGCACTCTTGAGCACATACCCAAAGGACACTTCCTCCTACCCCAGAGACACTTGCTCAATCAACCATGTTCACTGTTGCTCTATTTAGAACAGACAGAAACTAGAAACAACTTACATGTCCCTCAACAGAAGAAGAGTGGATAAAGAAAATGCGGTACATTTACACAATGGAGCATTACTCAGCCATTAAAAAAGAATGACACCAGGAATTCGTAGGCAAATGGATGGAAGTAGAAAAACACCACCCGGAGTGAGATATCCCACATCAGAAAGACACGTTTGCTATGTATTCACTCATCTTTGGGAATTAGCTGTGTAGTCAATGATAACCAAGCTGCAGCTCATAGAATCACAGAGGTAGGTATACTGTAAGGGCCTAGAGGGAACAGGTATGTAGATAGATCTTTTTTTTTTTTTTTTTTGAGACAGGGTTTCTCTGTGTAGCCCTGGCTGTCCTGGAACTCACTCTGTAGACCAGGCTGGCCTTGAACTCAGAAATCCGTCTGCCTCTGCCTTCCAAGTGCTGGGATTAAAGGCATGAGCCACCACCGCCCGGCATATGTAGATCTTCTTAGGGAAGTGAAGTAGAACAGGTAATTATGAGTGGATGGGGAGGCTGGAGTGGGAAGATTGAGTGGAGTGGGAGGGAAGAGGCGATTGAGGGAGAAACAGTTAAAATTAAGGGGCATTTGAAGGGTAGCATGGAAACCTAGTGTAGTAGAAACTACAGACACAGACACAGACACAGACACAGACACACACACACACACAGACACAGACACACACATACACGAGGACGATCTAAATGAAATCACCAAATAATGAGGGTGAGGAGTTCCAACTGGCTATCTTTTCTCACCAAACAAAGCTTCCAGGACTGGAATTGAGTTAAATCTAATTGAATTGTTGGTGAAAGAGGTTGTTTCATGAGACCCTCCAAACAAACCAGGGTGTTGCCAGGACTACAGATTGCTCTCTATAAACTGACATCAAGGCTCCATTGCTGAAGACAACTCCTAACAACTCATTGAACTGGAGAAGTCAAGCTGGTCCCTAAATAGAGCCATCACCCCTATGTCCTAGCATCTTTGGTACAGGAAGGTACTCTGCATGCTTTGGCACGTGAAAACATAAGGGAAATATAAACACTAACCCACCCACAAATGCTTTGCTCTACAATGGTGTCCTGCCAGCAACATATGCCAGGGCAGCGGTGGTACAAGGCTTATGGAAGTGACCAACCGATATCTGCTTTAACTGATTTCACAAGATAGAAACCCATACCTGGCTCTGCCTGGGTGACCATGAACCTGAGACTAGATAGCTCAAGCTCAAGGATCTAGGGTAAAACCAAATGCTATTGGTTTAAAAGAAAAGAAGAGAAGAGAAGAGAAAAGAAGAGACTCATAGTAACAAAATGACTCCCAGTGGCATTCCTCTATAGTCATAAATCAGTGCGTTGTTCAGCATCATCCGAGAAGCTTCCTCCTGGTGCAGAGGGTGGGGAACAAATCTAGATATAGATGCCCCTAGCCAGACATTAGGAAGAGAGAGAGAGAGAGAGAGAGAGAGAGAGAGAGAGAGAGAGAGAGAGAGTCAGAGAGACAGACAGTCAGAGAGACAGACAGTCAGAGAGACAGACAGATAGAGAGACAGACAGATAGACAGAGAGACAGACAGACTGACCGACCAAATTGTAATGTAAATACCTGTTTTCTGATGGTCTTAATTTGAGCCCTGAATCAAAGGGGTTGTGACCCACACGTTGAGAACCACTGATGTGACTGTCCGTTGGAGAGTGCAGGTAGAGCATGTGGCCACAATGGAAAATCCTCCTGGGTTGCAGTGGTCTAGCTAGAGGATCAACTCCTCGTACTTGTGCCTTGAATGTAATATTACGTGCTCATATAATATGGCTGGCCTGGTGGCACGCTGGCGGCTTGCAGGAGTGGAACAGTCTTCTAACTCAGTAGCCTTGGCTGCCTCTCACTCCTAGTGTGTGTTCTCCTCATTCCTAGTCCCACACAGTGGCTTATTTGGATGGGGCAGTGTTTTGTACCCCTCAGTGTTGGGGGGCCTCAACAAGGTTGGGAATTGATGCACAATTTAGTTTAAATGTCTTTAGGGTTAAGCTCTAAAAATATTCAAAAGATGCAGTGATCCAAGACTGCTTAAAAGAATGGCATTGTTGATTAGAAGCCCTGACTCTGGGCACTTAATTTCTCGTGTGTGTGTATGTGTTTGTGTGTGTGTGTATGCAAGCACACATGTATGCACAGGTGAAGGCCAGATGCTATTCTCAGGCACTGTACCCCCTGTGTTTCAGATAAGATTGTTCTCTGGCTTTGGGACTCACTGGGTAGCCATGTTAGGTTGGCCAGCCAGAGAGCCCCAGGACTCTTCCTGTCTCTACTTCTCCAACATTGGGATTACACATACTCACCACTGCACCTGGCTTTTTGTTAAAATGTGGGTTCGAGGTGTGTGTGTGTGTGTGTGTGTGTGGTGGGGGAGTAAATTTAACTCCTTGTGCTTGTTGGTAAGCACTGTAAAGCCATTTGACCAAGCTATCTCTCCAGCCCTGGTCCCACCCATATCTCCTCTGGCTTCCTACCTAAACATTTTCACATTCCATGATCTTCCCAGAAGGTGGGAATATATTGCTCAGAGATGCTAGCTTGCCCAGGATCACCCAGGTAGAACTGACAGCATTAGGACCCATGCCTGGATATATCATGCTGCTTTTTATTGCCTCTGGGCCAGATTCCCCCCCCACCCCCCAAAAAAGGTATCTTCCCTTTGCTTGATGACAAGTTCTAATGAGGATTGGTGACAGTAGGGCTTAAGGTAGCTAATCCCACCCACGAAGAGCATGTGAGGTACCAAAGGGCTACAGATGCTGAAGCAAGCCTGGGCCAGCACTAGAGGCCATTTCTTCATGCTGACCTCATTACCCTGCTAGCCCGAACACCCTGGCTTGTGCTATGGTCTGTGTGAGGGATGGTGGCCATCTTTCTCAGCCCTCTCCACATCTCTGAGCCAACTTCTGTTGCTAGTCTCATTTCACAGAGGGGAATGACCAAGGCTGTGAGAAATGATCTCAGACCTACAAGCACTGTAGAGAGGTATAGGTCAGGGCTTTGACCCCCACACCACCCCCATGCCATGGCCTTCCTTGGTGTGGGGCTATTTCCTTTTCCTTTTGTATTTTCTCTGAGTTTATCTCAGGACTCAGGGTGGACTGACCTCTCCCTCCCGGCAGTGAGCTGGTGATGTCAGCTTCCTCCAGGTACTGCCAGGACCATGCTCACGTCCCTGCCTGTTGCTCTTTTTCTTTCCTAGTGCCCTGGGTGCCCTCCTGCTGCTTGGTTCTCAGCTTGTGTGCCCGCAGCCCTCCACTGAACACAGAAAGGTAAGTAAGTCGTGGCCACTCAGAGCCAATGTGCTTCTCTGCCAGAGGGGATGAGGTCACCGTGGCCACTTCCCTCAGCTTCCTTATGCCTGGAGGTGAGTCCCAGCTGCTTCTGAGTAGAAGCACTCTTTCTAGAATGTTCAGCAGTCTTTGCATCTTTTCCAGGCTCCTGGATAAGAAGCCAGTGCTCCGAGCCAGTCTCTGATCGGAGAGCAGAGCAGGCTTTATAGTCTGTGTCCCTAGAGTTGAGTGGGAAGGCATTGCAAGGGCTTGCAAGCAGAGCCCCCGTTTAGGAGTGGAGAGTGCTTGCCAGAGCTGGTGCCTGTACAAATATGTCTTCAAGGCCACAGGGAGGGGAAGATTGGAAAAGCTGGAGTGCCTTGAGAGAACCCACCCCCTTTCCATATGGAGCTGTGATTCCTGATGAAAACACCCAGTTTCTGCTGTTAGGAGGGATCTGGGAGGGAAGGAGGAAGGAAGGAAGGAAGGAAGGAAGGAAGGAAGGAAGGAAGGAAGGAAGG